CGCTATCCACTAGATAGTGATTTTTTTCCTGTAGATAGATTTATCTACCTTTCAAACAACTGGGACCATTTTATCAAAAAAACACGTACTTCTACATTCATTGGAGTCTTCAGCAGTTGCAGGTCTCCATGGTCTGTCATTATAACCTGCTTTGCAACGCTCACAGTTCTTTCCTTCTGTGTTGTGAGCACAGTCACACTGTCCGTGTACCTGTTGGAGAAAAAGATACTAATTTTGTAATCTGTATTCTTGAATGTGTTCATTTCATTAATAGGATTTGTATTGCCATTTTAAGTTTTTCTTTTATCATTTTCATTTATCATGTATTTTATTTTATATATTCTTATTTTTTTTATAAAGTTACAATTGAGTCGAAATGTACAATGTAGGTGTGAATGAACACTTAACATGTTTAGAAACTCACAGCTACTTCTACTGTAAGTTATGATACATATGTCTAAAAGGTAATTATTTTTGGAGGAATGACTTAATATACTGTTAGTGATATATTATACACTAAAGTTTCCCTTTTACAAATCAGCAACCAGCTCAAGAAAGGAAACTGGAAACTAAACACTGTTTGAAATTTTACAATGATAGTGAATGAATTCCTTGGGACCAAAATACGGCAGACAGTCAAGGGCCTTAGTTAACAGCCATATTTTACTACTGAACACTGTAAATTGATATAAGTCCCACATCTAGTGACTTCAACTGCTGTTAAATATAATGTTCAATTTTTCCAGTCTGTAACAATGTGTATTATTGCCCACCTTGGGCTTTTAGGCATCCACATTCACACTGAAAGAAAATTGACATGAACTGCTGGATTGAGAGTTTTCAGCAAATTTATGTCTTCCAACAGATTTGACCCCTACATCTTTGATCCCTGTAAAAATAGACCTTCCATGCTCAAATCCTGCCATAACCTCCCCTCTGCCCCCCTCCCCCCCAACCCCTGTTGGAGGATGCTACACTGTACATTAACCTCATAAAAACTTTGGTCATCCACTTTTTCAAGTTCAGACTATAATCCTGGTCACTACGTATAAGACAACATATCGCTCACCATTCCAGGAGTATCAGGTTCTCCTGGCAGTGGAAGACACTGCTCAGCATGTCCATAACATGAACAGCTTCCTCGAATCACCAGATCATACACTGCATAGTAGTACTTAAGTCTGGCTTCTGGTTTGGTTGGATCAAGTACCAGATCTCCCAGGGTGTGTAGCTTGGTGAAGTTGATCCGTATGTTGGTCACCTTCAGCAAGTTCTGGACTTTTTCACTGTATGGGTTCTTCACTGGGATTTGAGGATTAAGTGCCCTGAAGATGACCTAACACCAAAGGATTAAGAAGGTCTCAAAGCTACTTGCAAATGATAATAAATCGTGTTGTTTCCACACCCCACAAGAAAGGTTCTTGGTTAGCCGCCCAGGTTCAAACTTAAAATCCTTAAAAATTTCCACTCCCTTCCTCAGAATTTCCAAAAACTTTCCATGGGTGGGTATCATTAGTTTCTGGAACAGCACATTCTTATCAAGAGATGTGGTGTTGTGGTTTTCGAAGACACACTGTAGACTCAAGTGCCTCTCTCCACACCCTGGTTTCCACTCAATCAGGGTGGTAGAGCCCTGACAAGGGAGGGCAGAATCAAGTGACCTGATTCAAACCTTGCACAACCAGAGATACTGTGGTACATGTACATTCTTGGGTTATACTGTTATCCCTCACAGTACCTCTCTGTCAACCCACAGGCCCTGCTTTCTCATCACTGATTCATGCATGTAAGTCTCTGTCAAAGGTACTAAATTCTAGACTAACCTCTCCATTTGACGATGGTTCTACTGATGAGAAATCCTCTGTACACACAACATCATCCACATCTTCCTGTGGCCTATTTGGAATGTCAGGGAATGTCTGCTTACAGTCTGCAGCATAGTATCGATAAACATTCCAGTTTCTGCCATAGTCCCATGACCGTTCAATAACCATGCCAGCGGGACGGAATGTGCGGAACGTCATTACCATGTGAGTAAAGTGAAACTGAGCTTCCAGATCAAGCTGTCAACAGTCATAGACAATAGAGTAAATATTTGCATGATTATTATTAATAATAATCATGATTATTATTATTTACATGTACGTGCATGGGAAGCACAGTAACATGCTTGGGTCATCGTGGTTCTTGGACAAGACAAGGAACTAGACTTTGCCCTTGGGCCCACCAATGGATTAATATCCAGAAAATGGGTACCGGCAATAAAGGAGGTAGCCCTTCTAACATTCCATCCAGGGGGGAGTAAATATGCTCCTAATCACTTCATGCTATGATAGCCAATTAGGCTTCAACTCAGACTTTACTCCACTTATGCATACCTAAAATGTGCATAATTCAAATTGACAATTAATACCATTAATTTGTTATATGTTCATTCACTCAGACTGTAGCAATTCCTTCCTTACGTGGTAACATGCATAATCTCTTTATTATATGGCTAGCTCCATGAGTGGGTAAGATGAACCGAATCCTGTTCTGTGATTGGCTATCCAAGAATGTAACATGGGGCTATGTTGCCCACTTGGGATTACCCGCTGTGTCCTGCAAGAAAATGGTGTCTCTTTTCCATATAGTAAATCATTTGCTGGGCAAGCTTGTTCGGTCAAGATGGCTGGATATTGGCCTCATTCTTTTTTTGTGTGTTTTGGACTTCGACTCTGTCTTGGTCAATAACCCAATATTTCTTGCGTCGATACACACACTCCACATGCTAACGTTGCTTACCGAAAAACATCTTCAGCGTAGCACTTACTTACCTGAAGGTACACATCTTCTTTGATATTTTGTGATTGCCACCAGGTCTTCTCTGTTCTTCCATTGAAATTTGAGATCATTTTCCTCGGTTCATGGCTTAGCTTTGGAATAGTCGCGTCACAGACAAAACACTCCTCTGGATTATCTTGAAGATGAGACACAATGCAGTAGTCCTCGGGACCATCCATGCCGCATGTTGAGGAGGCTATCAGCTGATCAGCACGACCAATCAAAAGGTCCCCAGTGGCTGGGTAACAACTACGCCTGTCACATTGGGTGTTGCCATTTTGACTGATAACTTGATAAACTAAATAACAAAATAAATAAATAAATAAATAATAAACAAATGTTAGCACTTATGTTCTAGTAGAGTGCTAGTCGACGGTGCTACGTTGTTAGACTGCATAATTTCCAGCTATCCCAAGAGCAACCTCATTGGAAAAGGGTTTAACTAACAGAAGTACAGTTCTGTAGTTAAAAAGACGTGGCCAGGTCAGTGATTTGCTGACTGGGCTAGGAAGCGAGGCGCAAAGAAAGAATTTGAAAAAGTGTTACTTTATAAATAATGTAAACTGCAAGCAACTCATGGAAAACGTCTCAAAAACTTGGTCGAACGTAGCTCTTCTTTGCTCCATTGGCCTCTGGAAAGTCAGCGTACTCTCAAATGTATTCTGTTTATGTTGCCGATTGGCAATTTTTGCTCCCACTTTAACGAAGTATCTTAACAACTATTAATTTTCTCTACAAAGGTTTAATTTTTCTGCAGTTATTTTAGGGGAATAAACTCTGATCAATGATTATTGTCTAGCCAATTAAGCTATCATTTATCTGATTGTCTATGTAAGGTCTAACAAAAGCTGGATCGCGAGTTATTTAAATTTCCCAAAATCGGAGGTTAAACTAACGATTTACAATCAGCCCACAGCACATTTGTGTTTGTAACAAGTTTCAAAACACGGCACAATGTAATTTTTGAGATTTCTTTTGGTGCAAATTAAGGGTACTGGGCAATATGCAGTTTACACGACAAGAGAATTTCGCCACAAACACACTATCTGTTTATTTTTAGCGACAAAGTGTTTTGACATTTGAAGCAAAATGGTCCGCTTCGTTGACAGGGCGTGAACGACCCGAGGAAACCACTAAATTCCAAAATACCGCTCCCATGGCATAATGTCAACAGAGCCAAAACTAAACCGCCGCTAATAACATAATATTTGAGAGTTTATTTAAGAGTTTCTATTAAAAATTACTCGCATGAAGTCAGTTTAGACAGATGATAAATTAAATTAACTATAGAAAAAAATCGGTGTAGGCATACATCGACATGACGTCTTGAACAACATTCATGTGATGTCAATAAAAGTTTCGGATGAGCGCGCGGTATTAAACGACGGGAAAATATTCGATTGATTAAAAACACACAAAGATGAAATACACAGCGCTATTTATGTTATCTAAGATGTAAGCTCACCTAAACAAAGCAGTACAATCGAAGCAATTCTCCAAAACTTTGCCATTATGTTCCCACGTGCAGGAAAGCCAGGAGGATTTTCTTCTCTGTGAAGTGCTAAAACAAATGTTTTGTACGTGCCACCCACAACTCAAAGTCGAGAATCTTCTTCTTCCGAAAGCTAAGATCCTACGAAATACGAAAATAGCTCATCAGCCAAGTTGCATCTCTAGGTTTCATCAGTTATTTTCAGACTTCTATTGCTGCATAAATATCAAACAGAAATCTTTTCAGAGGGTCACGAACGTATGAGACATCTTCGTGTGTCATGCAAAGACGCGCAGATAAGAATCACTCGCCACCGGGTTAGCGAAGTGTAGCAAACTTAAAGAAGGCTGCGTTTTGAACATATTAAGCGAAGTAACTAACCTTTGCCTTGAAGAGGTAAGAGAACGAATTACTGTCGCAGAGTTTGGACCAAACTATCTAGACAGAAGCTCCGATCTTGCACAAAGCATGCAAATTACAACCACCTTGAATTGAGTTGTCAAGATTCCAGCGGTGAGTGCTTTCACAGAAATTTACCCTCTTTGATCGAACAGTAAAGTCTTCAGTGCGTCAGTTCGTCTCACACCGTACTAGCAAAGGTAAACGAACGATCAAAGGAAAGAAAAATTGTCCCAGGAATGATGTTATGGCTGAAGAAAAGCGACAACAGAAGCTCAGGGAATTCGCCACGGGAAAGACGATATGCCTGAATGAATTTGAGGAATGTAGAGACTAGCCAATCAGATTTTGGTGTCATAATGTGAAATTTCCGCGCGAAGACCACCTTTTGATCGCCGGCGAGGGTCAAATTTCAAGGACAGATCAGTACTCCCTAGCTACTCGTCCATATCAAACATGTTACTCACGAACTGCCCTGAATTCTTCGCAAGTCTAGCGTGTTTAATGTTTACCAATTAATAAGAAAGCCTCTTCTTTTCTCCCATTATAAAGCACGCAAGAAAATGGCAAGAGCGCAGACGAAGTCTATGTGCAAAACGCGAGCCGTATAATTATAAAGCGAGTGTTTCTCGCGTACTTCTTGAGTTTCAGGGTTTCAGATTAAGTCGAGCTGACGTTGTGTTTGTTTGTGTCTATCCTGCCTGTAACGCAATCAGGGTCTAAAGAATAATATTTTCCTGTCAAGGCTGAATATTTTTATTTCTTTGCCGATTTTAGGCTGAAAATGTTCTTGAATATTCTTCGATTATAGCGTTTGACATTTCTGTTTTCGGATGTATTTGGTGGCTGGATGGTGTTAAAGTAATATTGAAGCCAGCCTAAGGAAATGTTATATATATGCGAACATACGGCTGATGCTGCTTTTGTTGGTTTTGGCTAGTCTTACCGTGAAGACAAAGGTAGAATTTTATATGGTTCTATGTTAAACCTACACATGTAATTGTGTTGTATTTACAAATTTTCAACTAAAAAATATAAACTTTCAAAATCTCAGGCTCGGGTTTATTCTTAAATTATAAAATATTCTTGAAATTTCGCAAATTTCAGCCTCGATATTCTTATCAGGTGTGTTCTGATTAAAAAAAAAAAGAGTGTAGTTAGCTTTTAACGTACTGGTTAGGCAGTTTCAACGGTTTTCAGTTTTTATTCTTGCACACTGTTTACAGAAAACGACTTAACATAAGATGGTTTACAATAATACAGAAAAAAATGCAAATAGAAATTAACTAGCTGAGAAACAATATTTAGTTGTGTACAGTGACTAAAGTAGCCAATGTGCTTTCGAGTTGGTCACTGTCATGCAGATACAAGTTGGCGTTGGCCGCATGTTGAGTATAACGTATTTTAGTAATGGTCGAATATTGTAATCTTTAGGAATTTGCACTTTCAAGCTTCTTTTAGTTAGTCATACTCGGCCACAAAAATTCTTGAAAGTAAATTGTACCGTGTATTAATAAAGTGGATTGTTTGATTCAATTTTGCTCGTTTTTGTGTTTGCTCGCTCCAAGAAACATCATGTCTCTTGCTTGCTCCCAAACGGAGAAAGTGAAAGAGACAGGGTATCGATTTTGGCCATTTAGATCTCAAATAGGGTATGGTATTTGCACTCGTCTTGAATTGGGTATGTTTCTTGGAAGAAGCTACTTTTTCATCATTATCAATAAGACCGTCAACAAAATCCCTTCATAACTTATGTTTAAAGCAACTGTGCCAGCTGCGGCAACGGTCATGAAATAGGGTATCGAATTTTTGGGCAGATCATAAATAGGGTAGCAAAAATCGCAGATTTTAGTCATAAATAGAGTGAGGGTTTTTGGAAGTGTTCCGTACACCCCCACCTAACTTTTCTGGGAGTACCCTTCCGGGCAACATCCTGGGGGGGGGGGGGC